CGCCGGTACGCGCGAGCGGTTCGACGCCTCGACGCCCCGGCGCGGTACTGGGTAACGATCCAGTACCGACGGGCGGAGGCGGAGCCGGCTCGTGGGCGTACCGCGCGCGTCCTCAACCCGCGCTCGGTGCCGCTTCTAAGGTAAATAGCGAGCGTTACCTTAGAATAAGCGGGAAGTCGGACCTTGACGGTCGGTGGGTGACAAGTCCGTCCTTGTCCTCCTCCACCGCCGCCGGTCCGCTCCATATTTAATGTACATAGTAACCTATCATAATAGTACAGTACCGATGTACTGTAGTGACGTACTGTAGCGGTCGGTCGACACTGTAATACTGTCAGCCATCGGGGCCGACAGTACACGTGTGTGCGCGCTCTTCGTTCCGCGTGTACACGAGTACACGTGCCCTGTACTTGGGGGTACACGTGGTGGTACTGTAGAGCATCGAGCCCTACAGTAACCGATCCGATTCTGAGTTGATCTAATCTAAAATAAAGCCCCAGGGGGGGTTATACTACAGGTACTGCTGCGGGTTTCCCTCCGCGCTTCCATGTCGGGTTGACGCGTACCGCGGCCCGACGGGCGGGCGACCGCACTATCGTCGTGACGGTTCATTGCGGGGGCGGGTTCTCGTTCCCCCTGCAACACCCGGTGCGCGTCCCCATTACCGGCTTGGGGCGGAACCGGCCTTTTCCTTGGTAATTTCCGCCTGCTTTTTCCTTGCGGCGGGTGGTTTCTCGGCGGTTTGACGAGCTCCGATCGGGTACCCCCCGAGGATCGGAGGCGTCTTAAACCGCTGCCGTGGTCCAGCGGCCACACGTGCCGGGCGGTGTATGCCGCTCGCGCAACTCGTGGTCCACAGTGCCCTGGAGCCCCGGCGAGGTCGTGCCCATACAGTATTTACGCGGCTGGGTTCCGTCCCTCGGCGGCGGGTATGCACCGGGGCGCCAAGCCGTTTGACCGCCGCCGCGTCAGGTCGTCCTGCCGGCAGGTCAGCTTCCCCCCCGCGCCGGTCCGTCCGGTACGGCTCGGGCAGTGGCACGCAGGGGATCCGCGTGCGCCGTAAACGGGTGGTGGCCGCCTGGAGGAGACCCTCGGCAGAGTCGCCCCCCATCCGCGCCGGGTATTCCGGTGCGGGGTTTGCGGTGACGTGCGCGGGGTTCCGCGTGCGTCTGTGGCGATTGGCCGCCTCCTGCGCCGGGTCTTCCGGCGCGGGGTTTGCGGTGACGCGCGCGGGGTTCCGCGTGCGTCTGTGGTGATTGGCCGCCTCCTGCGCCGGGTCTTCTGGCGCGGGGTTTGCGGTGACGTGCGCGGGGTTCCGCGTGCGTCTGTGGCGATTGGCCGCCTCCTGCGCCGGGTCTTCCGGCGCGGGGTTTGCGGTGACGCGCGCGGGGTTCCGCGTGCGTCTGTGGCGATTGGCCGCCACTCGGGGGAGGTCCTCCGCGGGATCGTCCCGCCCCGCGCTGAGTTTCCCAGTGCGGTATTAGCGGTGGCGTGCTGCCGCCGGCGTGCGCCAGAAGCGGTCTATGAAGGCCTGGGGGAGTCCCTCCGCGGGTTCCCAGGTATCGTCCGCTGGGGCGTAGGCATACCAGCGGACCTTGTACTGGGTCCCTGTGCGGTTCTCCCGGTGACCGACCAGATGGCTGACGACATACTCTGCGGCGGGTTCGCGTTCTCCGTCCGCCGCGGGCTGGGTCGGGGTGCGGTTCCTCGACCACGTTGACGCCCGCCGGGGCCGTTTGGCGCTGGTTTCGCCAAGCGGACGGCCCCTGGCGGTTGAACGGGGATCCCGGGCGGAGACCTTGCCGGATGCGTAGCTTCTGGTAGTTGGCCTCTCGTGCCTCCAGAAGCTTGGCCCGCAGGCTCGCATCGGCAACGACGGGGCACCCCTCTTGTCGGTGCGTGGTGTCCAGGCAGAACCGGCACGGTGGCGGTCCGGGAAATCTCCCGCCGGAGAACCGGACGCGTGGATCCTGCCCTTGCCTCCCGTATGGTCGTGTGTGCACGTCGCCAGGGTTGGCGAGTGGAACTGGGGCGCTCGCCGTCGACGATGCCGGCGACGGATAATAACTCGTCGGTGGCGAGCTCATCGAGGTCGGCGTGGCGGTTTGGTCCGTCACGGCCAGGATTGCTTCTTCAGCAAATCCCCCGGCCGTCAGGATGTCGGATGCCGACTCAACCGACAGCACGGGCCTCGTCCTTGCGGTGCGGTCGAATCTTCTAGCCACTCCGGACCGCTCTCGGTGAGCCATGGCTGACATCCCTTGTCGACGGGAAGCCCGATTGGTTTCCCCGATCGCTTGCGCATAGCGAGCGACGGATTGGTAGTCCACATCGGGGTGCGTGGCGAGTTAATTACGAACCTGCACGCACGTGGCGGGCAGTATCCCCTCGACGAACAGGGACTTCAACCGCCTGTCGGAGAATACCGTACCGCAGCGGAGTGCCTTGTCCCAGAGGTAGTTGCTGTAGACCTCCTCCGTCATTTTTGAACTCTGACGGAAGGAGGTCACGTCCCAAACCGCTTCGGAAATTACCTCATCGGTCGCATAGGTACGCAACAAAAAGTTGACGACCTGCGGGTACGTCCTGAGCAGTTCGCGCTGCTCCACGTCAACCGCCATGGTATTTCCATTGAGACGGGACTGGAGTAGGGCGTGAGCCTGACCGGTGAGGTAGAATTGGAAGCACCACACGGCGGCTCCCTCGGTGATCCCGTTGTGGTCGCACGCCATCTTGAGGCGTGCGAGGAGTACCAATACCGCAATCGGATCTTGACCGCTGAACGTGTGGGACGTCATCTGCACGTCCAGTTTTTTCCGGTAACGGTTAATGTGCCGCGCTACTGTGGAGTCGTAGCGCGAGCTACGCCGTTCCAGGCGGTAGGTCTTGTAGTTGACGGCCTTGGTAAACAGGTCATTGAGGGGCCTGATTACCGTGGGCCGTCGCTCGTCGCTCGTCGGGGCAGCCCGGCGGTGTCTGCTCGAGCGACGACGCTCCTCATCCGACTCGGTGTGGTAGTCTTCCGAGTCGGACGGGTCGTGCCGGTGCCGGTCTCGGCTTCTATCGCGGCGTGCCCTGTGGCCCCGCCTGCGAGAGTCTTCCGAACCGGATGGGTCATCATCGGAGGGGTATCCTCCCCCTCCGGCATCGCGGTATCGCCCGTGGCGTGCCTCGCGGTTATCGCGGTATCGCCAGCGGCGTTCCTCGCGGTCTTCATCCGTCCTGTGACGGGGGTCTTCTGCCTCGGAATACCGGGTGTATTCCGCTTCGGTCCTGTGCGTGCCGGGTGCACGTCTTCTGCTCAACCGGTACGGGTCCCGATTCTCTGTCTCGGGGAACCCCAGGCGGTTGTCTGTCCCGCGGGGGTCGCCCGTACCGGCGAGTATGGGGAGGACATTTCTGTGGTCCTCGCTGTAGCACCGTGAACGGTTGGGAGAGAGATGGCTCTGCCCTCCGGGTGAGGGTCCATCCTATCAATCCCGGGTACGGCGCCGATCGGATCAGCGATATTAAAGCTTGAGTCCGGAACGGTTTCACGGCGCGGCGCCGGCGGCGGTACCGCGCCTCCCGTTTCGGTAAATGTCGTGGCCAGACGGATGGCCACGTCGGAGCTAATAGCTCCCTTTAGAGCCAATGCGGTCGGAGATTCGTCCTCCTCCGCGGCGAGCGCTGCCACCACCTCGTCGCGTACGAGGGGGGCAATCTTCTTGTCCAGCAGGGCGCGGAGCGCGGTGTCCGCATGCTCCGCCACCAGTCTTAGTGCCGTTCGGTCGAGGCAAACCTGGACGACCTGAGGTAATTCCTCAGCGAGGAAATCCTCCATCCAGGTTTGTAGTCGCGGGAGTAACGCGTCGTACAGTACTTGTACGCGGTTCCCCCTACCAGCCGGTAGCCCGGCGGTGGTGTCCGACACGGAAGGGGTCTTCTGGCCCCTTGTAGACGGCGGGTGCAGCAGGGCTTCCGGATTGTCGATCCGGGGGCGCTGTGCGCCTCTGCCACTGCGGGTACTTGCTCGCCCGGAGGCGGTATCTTCTCCGGCAGAATCCGCACGGTTCATCGTCGATGATCACTGGCGATCGACGCGGTGATTTTCGACCTCTTTCAATCCGATCGGTAGTTGCTCGCGCTGGCGATTCAGTGCGGGCTCAACCTCTGTAGTTATACCCTCAACAAGAGTACCAAAATGTGGTATAACTACCTTCGTCCCGACCACTCGGAACGAGGGGGGTTAGAGGTAAGGGAGCACGCGCCGCTGGGTAACCCACGCGAGCGCAAACCGTACAGAAGGACTCGAAAAGAGGGAAGGCTCACGTGGCCGGTGACGCGCAGCCACTCGGTGGTGTTAGATCCGGACGGCCGGTCACGGGTTAGAAGCCTGAGACTTAGAGGTAAAACCGGACGGAGTTAGCAAAAAGCCGTAAAGGGAAGGGAGGCGAGTCTGCCTCTCGTTTACTGGAACGGGGCAGGTGCTCCCGGTCTTAACCCCAAAGTGGGACGCCAGGACACCTGTCCCGCTACAGTAGCTGTTACTTACTGTATACCAGCTTCTGTGCTAAATTAGCTAATTTGTGCCAATAACTACTAATTACTAATTACTTACCGTTTGGATCCTACACGTGTAACCAGCGGGGTACCACTGTACTCCGCACCGGCCGTGTGCTGTAAATATAACTCCTTACAGTTCTTCTCGCGCTTACAGCCCATCATACTGTATCCCGGGGCGGCAGCGGTGGTGCGATTGCCTTCGCGCCGTTGTACTACACTTATCATAACTCAATAAAATAATCTGTATAAAGGTCTAAAATGGGAGCTTCTAATTTCTGTACTATGAATTCATGGTAAAAATGCAAGGATTGCAATTGCAGAAATCATTGCAGTATCGCCACCTAATTTTTGTGGAATACTTCTCAATATCGCATAAAAAGGCAAAAAGTATCATTCAGGAACAATAGGAGCAGGTGTAACCATTGGATTAGCTTCAATATAGTTATCAGGATGTCCTAGAACATTTGGTGAAAAATAAACAAACGTACGGAATGAACAGCATTTGTTAAACCAATAACCATCAATGAAGACATTAAAGCAAATATCGAAAATAAGTAAAACAAGAAGATATCTATGTTCATTTTATTGTTTTTTTATGTTTAGCGGAAAAAGGGATTCGAACCCTCAACTTTAATCTTGGCAAGATTATACTCTACCAGTTGAGTTATTTCCGCGTTAAGGCGAAGCGAGCGCGGTGGGTTTGAGCATCAGATTGTGAATCTGAAGGACGTGGGTTCGAATCCCATTCTTCGCCTTAATTATCTATGATTCTATATTTGATCGAAGCAATAGCTTTACCCGGATTTAAGGATTTAGGACATGTCTTACTACAGTTCATTATTGTATGACATCTAGATAGTCGCATTTTATTACTTAAAAAATTTAATCAACTTTTCCAGTAGAATTATCTCGAGAATCAACAATTCACCTATAGGCTTGTAATAATATAGCAGGGCCTAAGTACTTGTCTTGATTCCACCAATAACTTGGGCAGCTTGCAGAAAAACCAACAAGCACATAAAATACATTCGTATAAACCGTCCAATTCAAGTCTATCTATTTTAGATTGTAAATTTTCCTTTAATGAAAAACCAATTTTATTGATTAATCAAGGTTTGATCAATTTATATTGAGCATAAACCTATTTCTATCACGGAAAGATCTTATTACTGCAGCAGAAGGAACACCGCTTTTAAATCTTTTTTCGTCCGTCTGTCGCAATGGATGGCATCACGCTACGAAGCGTTGGTAAATCCATAGCAAACCCCTTAGAAGCAATAAATGTCATGCGTTCCTTTATAAGAGCATCTTCTCCCGGTGTAATGACACTCTTTCGAACTACACGATTGCTTGCGGGGTTAAGAAGTCTTTCCAAATACGCGTTGTTCTTGTCGGTGAGAGCCTTCTTTATTCTCATGACTGTGCCAATATATAGGTCACCTGTGGCAGATACAGTCCGCACTTGGTGGCCTTGCTTGAGGAGCTGCAGAGCTCTTTCTCGAGATTTGCGGCTTGTTTCATCACGAACCGTGCGCCCTTGCGCTTGGCGAGTCTGTTTCTGCATTGACAAATTTGTCATAGGGTGGTGTAGAATCAAAGAGAGGCTCATGTAGCATAATCGCGAGGACGTTATTTGAACGCGCGGGGTGACTACTGTACTCCCGCAAAATGCATTACAGCGCGCACACCCGGGCCTGTAAGTACGCGCTTGCTGCTCGCTGTGCACGTGCGCAGCGTGAGGATCCGGAGTAAGGCGCGCGAGCTTACCGTGTAAGGCGCTACCCAGATACTGTAGTATGTTATGATAGATTATTTACTTGTATATTAAATGACAGGGCGACCGGCGGCGGAGGGAGGGGAAGGACAAGCACGGGCTTGGTATCAGATCCTCCGCCGAAGGGCTAACCCCGTTCGCTTATTCTAAACGCGTTCTCTTAACGCGAGCGCGTTAACTAGAAACCAACGCTGGTAGCGGTCGCGAACGTACGCGCGCGAGCTGGATCCGCCTCCGCCCGTCGGTGCTAGAACGCTAACTAGCGCTGCTCCGGGGCGTCGAGCGCGTCGAACCGCTCTATCGCGTACTGTGTTCGCGTCCGCTCCCCACTGCTCTACCACGCTACCACGGCTCGCGTTCTTTTCTGGTGTGTGTGTTTTTGTCCGTTCTCGCGTTCACAGGTCTTCAAAGAACCACAGCTAAACCCCCAACGCGATCGGGGGTTTATGCTACAGCTCACAGTCAGTAAGTTACGATGGTACGAGGTCCATCGTAGCAGTTGGAAATCCTCCGGGCATCTCGAGGCGAGGGATATTACATTAGTTCATGTGTCCAAGTAGCTTGAAAAGGGCGCCATTTTATTTGGCGGGAAGACGCTACTGTTGGTTTGCTACGGGTAAGGTGGTCTTTGGTGGTTGCTGACGTGCGATACATTACTGAAAGCATTGTTTTGGTCTACGGAGAGAAATTCGTAGCCTTTGACCACAGTCTGCTGTCACGATCCCGAATGTATCATACTAGCGCATGTTTCAAACTATCCCCCCGTGGAGGGGTAGTGCCCGGCTCCCTGCCGCATGTTCTGAAAGGAGTGGAGATGTGCAGAGCGCAGGGTAGCGAGTGCGGATGAGCGGTCGATTTCTATGTTTTGATTTATCATCTCACCTTATCATTGTTACCTTATATCTCTATGTTTTCTTTTCTATGGCAGCTTCGCATAAGGCCTCATAACCCTTATGGTTTCTCTTTTGTTCGTATGGACTTTTTAGTGATTTCATCGTCGTCTTTTTGAGCCAGACCATGCTGTACTCACGATGTGTTTTTTGGAGTCCTAAGTTGTTCTCGGGTTAGTATAAAAGGGCACCCATCAAATCCCAGTAGGGGAAGAGAAGGGGAGCCCAAGAAGAAACATTTAGCATCTCTAACAGTCAAGTTCCGCACGTCGGAAGACTTGGAGAATAAAGAGGTACCGTTTGTCGGTATCTAGTTTTTTCATATAATTTCAGCGAATTTGCAATTTTCTCAAAGTATTCTCACATTCATGAATTTCGAAATCTTTGGAAAAACAATCAGCTTTATTTCGTCTAGCCACTAAGCAGTATCCATTTCGAACCGGTACAAATCAAAAGGCCAAATTCAGGCTGTTTTCGCAACTGGGAACGTTGTGCATTCTTTGCAATTGTGTCTCAGAGGACATTTGGTCAATTTTCCGCAGCACCTTTGCTGTGGTTCCCAAGCACCGCTCTATGCGCCGCTACTGCGCCTCGCTGCTCTGTCTGCTCATCTTCACCGTGCTTTCCTAGCACCGCTCTTATCGCCGCTACTGAGCACGGCTGCTTCTACCTCACCATCATTACAGTGCTGTGCGAGCACCTCTCTTTGCGCAGCCACCGTCGAGCGCTGTTTCTTCGTCACTACCTTTGCTGTGCCTTTCGATCGCTGCTCTTCACGTTCGTTATAGCGCCTTTCGAATCGGTTTGCTCTTCCACGATCAAGTAACGTTTTGCTTTGCCCGAAATCGGTTGATCCAGCTCTGTCTGGGGACGTTAGCCTGGCGACTTGAACCAACGTGACCTTTGCCGCTGGAGCCCCACCGGTCCTTCGGGGCGGATAACGGTGTTGGTCTTGACGACCTGGTGATTTCCGGGCGAGTGATCTTACGGGGTGTCGTGCTGCTGGGTGGGCAGGCGTTGTTGTTCGTGCCTGAGCTGTCGCACAAGTTTCCCGCAAGAGAATAGACAGACAAAGAGCCCGTGCACTGGCTGCTGTGGACTTCTCGTAGGGATCGTCGCGCCTACTCTTTGAACGCAGGAGTAGGTAGACCGCAGAAGTCGTTTCTCGACCCGGACGAGCTCCGGGCGCCGAAGGTCGGACCTTCCCTACCTGCAAGGGCTGCAGGCACCGAGGGTTGGACCCTGACAAGAACCTTCAAGGGTAGGGGACCCGAGCTGAATAGGAGTGCAGAAGGAAATCACAATGCCGCCGACTGCGACCAACGAGGAATCGGATGGTTCTCCGAGTACGACTGCAACAATGTTCATGACCTCGATCTCTCAGGACACTGTAGCATAAACACCCCCAGACGACCGAGGGTGTATGCGCAGTCCGACGTAGACCCCGTTCGAACGGGAAGACGGATGAAGCACCAGCTAACGAGGCAGGGAAGCGGACCCTGTTAGCGGTGTGGTAGAGCGGGACGGTCGGGAACGGGCGTACGCGCGGGCCAATCTACGCCTCGACGCCCCGGAGCAGCGCTGGGTAACGTACCAGCGCTGAAGGGCGGAGGCGGATCTAGGCTCGCTCGCGCACGCGTGTGTCCCCTACCCGCTTCCTGCCTCCTAACGCGCGCGAAGGCGAAGGCCCGTGGTTAGAATAAGCTGGGTGGACTGACCTTGGCGGTCGGTTGACGACAAGTCCGTGCTTGTCCTCCTCCTGGCTCCGTCGGTTCGCTCCCTATATACCAAACAATCTATCATAACACTACAGTACCGAGGTACTGTAGTGGGCTACTGTAGTGCAGGTCGGCCTGCACTGTAATACTGTCAGCAATGTCGAGGCTGACAGTACGCGTATTACTCGTGGTGCCTGCGCGCTTCGTTCTCGCGTGGTACACGTATGCACGTGTATGCGCGTGTCCCTTGTCCCCGTGGTGTACACGTGGACACGCGCGGTTGTGCTGTAGAGCGTCGAGCTCTACAGTATGGGATCCCGTTGTTGATCTAATCTAACTAAAAAAGCCTCAGGGGGGGTTATACTACAGACACGTTTAACGGACTGAATGATATTCAAAAAGGGTTTTATCACTTCCATTCGTCATGTGCAAGACGTCGGAGAAGAAGGTCAAGCTCTCACTCGCTCTGTCGCGGATATGTTTCCATCTGGGGAACTCTTTTGCCAAGAACTTCGAAGTCTACCTTCACTGTATTCGGAGCTGCGCAACTTCCTCGACTCTCGTGGCGCCAGCATGACGCAACACTCGTCACGTCGTATAATGATGACGCTGGCTCATACTCTATATGAAGAGCAGGAAGATAAACAGGCGGCTGTCGATATCATTCAACATAGCATAGCGTCTGGTCGCCGCAGCCGCGAGGTTAACACCGCTTCTCAAACATCGCAACCTGTTCCTGCAGCCTGTTCCTGTGCCGACAAGCGCTGCTCATGTCGCAACGGGTAGCTCCTGACAAGGTAGCCCATAGCCTAGCCATGCGCCTGATAGATACCGGGAGAAAATGCAGTGGCGCAATTGGCGAAGGTTTGGATGGAGTATGTCGACGATTATAAGCAAATCGCTCGAGATTGCAATCTTTCTGTATCCTAGAAGCTGCAATACATGCACAACTTTCTTTGGGGTGATGCTAAAAGATTTTAGTTGGACAAAGTAGACAACTACGCCACAAGTTTCAACCAGGCGGTGGATATAATTGAGAGGGAGTACAACTCCACAGTGCGACAAACAAAGGTGAAGAACTACCTTAACACCTTGAGAATGTCTAATTTTGTCAATGAAGGTATTGAAATGTCGGACGCACTAGCGAAACTCCACAATGTCATCAACAAACTTGCTCCCCAAGCTCCAGCCTCTCACCGAGGCGAGGCTCAGAAAATTGAGATTCTGCACCAAGCCGTTGTCGGTTTCGAATGGTCCAAGGATCTCCCTACCCGCATTGCCACGAATAATATGTCATTTGAGGAACTTTATAGGGAACTTGCGAACGCTCTGCAGTTGGAAAAAGAAGCTGAAATTGCACAGCTACGTGATAAAATCTCCACCCGCCGCGGAAGCAACGACGAAGACATCCAAGGTATCCTCTACACCGGGCAAGGTAGATATGCCCGTCCTCCATCTACCGTCAACAACCGCGAAAGACAAACCGTCAACCTTACAAAGAGCTCTCATGTTCCCAAGACATTCGATCCGCTATCCGTGGCAGGATGTTTTAACTGTGATGATAGGGGTCACGTCCTCACCAAATGCCCAAAGCCTCTCAATGTGAAGAAAGCAGCCGCCAACAGGCTTGTTTACTACGCAAAGAAGAAGAGAACAAATCCTTACAATGCCCATCGCGTCCTGGCTGAGATTTGTTATCAAATTGATCTTGGATCCCAAACCAATTCGTCCAACGAGAATGAACCCAAGATGTCGATCTCCGGTCCGACAAAGATATTTTCGAGACCCTCCTCGCTCACGTAGAGATCGATATTAACCACAGTAACATTGGAATTATCGCACAGGAAGACGCCGAATCCAGCGAGGATGAGGCGAGCTGTGCTGGTGAGGAAATGTTCACCGTTTTCGAAGATGAGGAGGTGGTTATCGGGATGAGCAGCGAAAGGATTCCGATCGACTTTCCTGGGGCTTGTATAGATACAGGCGCGCAACGTTCAGTCATTGGAAAGCGGCAAGCAGTAGCCTACTGTGATATTATGAGGCTCCCTTTTAAACTCGATGCAGAGACTCACCCCCGTGTATACAAGTTCGGGGAACGACGTCCAAAGGCCTTGGCACGCCTAAATTACGGGTCCCTACTGACAACTACCACTTCATTCTTGCTAAAGTTGAAGTTGTCGACATCGATGTGCCTCTACTTTTGGGTCTGGAATTTCTGGCGCAGTATGGCATCTCAGTTGATGTTGCTCGCATGCGAGCAACATCAACTGAGATGTTGAGATGTTGCAACATGCTTCTGTCTGAAAAATGCGGATGGGAACTACTGCTCACCAGAAAAGGTGGTCATATTTGCCTGGAATGGCCCGTAGAACTCCCGTACAACACTACAGGTCTGCGAAAGATGCACCAGAATTTCTTTCATCCAAAGGCTGAAAGATTGTATGCTGTCCTCAGGCGCGCAGATCCAACAAACTGTACACCTCAAGACATGCACAAGTTGGAAGAAATTTCACGCAGCTGTGATGTGTGTCAACGGCTAAGTCGAGCCCCAAGTCGCTTCAGAGTCTCGCTTCCAAAGGACGACATTGTTTTCAACCGCATCTTGTGCGTGGATATAATTCTCTTAAAAGGGGAAGGCAGTATTACATTGCATGGAAAGGGAGACTAAGTTCAATGCTGCTTCATTCCTGCCCGATCAGACGGTCGATACGGCATGGAAGGCCTACCAGACAATGTCATCATTGCCTTACGTAGGACACCCAGAGCACATACACGCGGACCAAGGTCCTCAATTCAAGTCTCGACGGTGGGAAGGACTTTGCCATCTTGCTGGAATAGATCTGACACTTTCTGGAGTTGAAGGACATAATGCCGTTGGTGAAGGGGAAAGATATCACTCATACCTACGACTGATATTCAACAAAGTCCAAACGGACTTTCCCCATCTCAATGAAGACTACACTTTGCAGCTTGCGGTAAAGGCTGTAAATGATACAGCAGGACCAAATGGGTTAGTTCCAACCTTGCTCGTGTTTGGTATCCTTCCCAGAGCACTTCTCGTTCCGATTGATTTGCTGCAGCAAAAAGAACGCATGGAGGCAATGATGAGTGCTTGTGATGAAATGGCGAAAGCCATATCTCGGCGCCGTCTTTCTACAGCATTGAAGTCCAACGCACCAGCAGCCACATCTTCTGACGTTGCAATCGCATCCGAAGTTCTTGTTCATAGGGAGTCACCAGTCGGAAAATGGGAAGCGCTGTATCCTATACTTATTGGGAAAGCATGTTTTTGTTGACATCGACGGACGGTTAGTCAAATTTTCGGTCGACAAAGTGAAGCGTTACATCAAAGATGACGTTAAAAGGGCCGAGGACAGAGCTGTTGCAGGAGTAGACGTTAAGGAAACTAATGAAGGGCATTCGAAGGCTCTTGACGAGTTGATTACGGCGCTCCGCAAGGATGTTGGTTCTTTAAAATCAGTAGTCGATGAACCGATCAACAGCTGGGAATTCTTCACCCCGGAAGTGGGAGGGCACCAAACAAAGATTTTGACTCCGAATGACCCTGACGGCGACTCCGAGACATTTCGACCTGCAAAATTTGCGGAAGTTGAAGGGCTGTTAAGAAAAATTCATGGACAGTAGTGAACCGGAAAGATTTGCCTAAGGATGCGAACATTCTTGGTGGTCGCTTTGTGTTGACCTTGAAAGAGTTTGGATCACACAACGAGACGCCCAAGGCTCGGTATGTCGCGCAAAGTCACCTTGACAAAGACAAAGAATTTCTTGTGCATAACACTACGAATATTCGTCAGCGATCTATCAGAGTCATTATGTCATTCGCCGCAGTTAAAGGCTATCGGGTGTTCAGTCACGATGTAAAGCAAGACCTCCAGAGTGACGAGGACCTCACTCGGAAGATATACATCGCCCCAAAGAGAAAGGACTTAGAATTCTTCAAGGTCTCTGCCGATGAAGTGCTGGACTTGCCGAAGCCTCTGTACGTAAATGGTGACAGTGGAGATTATTGGGGAGCAACTGTTGACAGGGCATGTCAAAGAGGATTTAAAGATGACTCCAACATGTGGTGACCCGTCACTCTACATGACCATCCTGCGTGATAACTCTGAGCACGGACCAAGGACAGACGAAACTGAAGGGAGCATGAGTGTGTATGTGGATGACATGTTGTTAGCCGGAAACGTCAAGTTCCAAAATCTCACCGAGTCGACACTTCAGAAATTCAAGTCACGTGAAAGGGCATGGGATAACTTTGTTTTCGTAGGTTGCACGATTAAAACAGTTCAAACAGGTGTGTTTGAGGTCGATCAGCAGGATTACATAAAGAACATTGGCTTTGTTCCCACAGATGCGACATTCGACCAATACCGCAGAATTTGAGCTGAGAATGCCTGGGCAACACACTCTCGTCCAGATGTCAGTTGTTGCGTAAACCGTGCTGCTCAAGTAGTACCAGAACCGTCAGGTACCGCAAGGAAAGTTCACGTCAAGCTCTTGAAGAGTATCAAGAGATTGAAGTCAACTCCTAGGCCCAGACTCAAGTACGGCAGACTGGACGAGAATAGTCTGCACATCGGAGTCTACAGTGACGCTTCGTTTGAGACCAATGGTGACCTCACTTCCCAACTGGGATTCATGGCTCTTCTTTGCGACAAAGAAAGCAATTGCCACTTATTGGATTTTGCTAGCAAGAAATGCAAGAGCGTAGTGAGATCCATCCTTGGTGGCGAAGTTTATGCGTTTACGGAGGGATTTGACTCAGCCTACATGATCAGGCATGACTTCCAGCGGATGTATAGAAAAAGTGTACCACTTCAAATGCGCACGGACTCAAAGCAAAGGTTTGATGTGGTGACGAAAGCATCATCAACGTCCGAAAAGAGATTGATGATTGATATTTCCGCAGCACGTGAAGCCTACAATGCCAATGAAATATCTAATGTTTGTCTAATTTTCACGGAACATAACCCAGCTGACGGGTTAACAAAGGTGAAATTCTGCAAAGCTCTCGATGAAGTTCTCCGCACCGGCATGGACAAAAATCCCGTTCAGAAATGGATAATTAGGACGACACCTCGTTCGTCTTCTTGAGTCGCTGGAGTGTGGATGAGCGGGCGATTTCTATGTTTTGATTTATCATCTCACCTTATCATTGTTACCTTATATCTCTATGTTTTCTTTTCTATGGCAGCTTCGCATAAGGCCTCATAACCCTTATGGTTTCTCTTTTGTTCGTATGGACTTTTTAGTGATTTCATCGTCGTCTTTTTGAGCAAGACAATGCTGTACTCATGAGGTGTTTTTTGGAGTCCTAAGTTGTTCTCGGGTTAGTATAAAAGGGCACCCATCAAATCCCAGTAGGGGAAGAGAAGGGGAGCCCAAGAAGAAACATTCAGCATCTCTAACAGTCAAGTTCCGCACGTCGGAAGACTTGGAGAATAAAGAGGTACCGTTTGTCGGTATCTAGTTTTTTCATATAATTTCAGCAAATTTGCAATTTTTCTCAAAGTATTTTCACAGCGAGCGCGTTTGCCAACCGCTGCGCGCGTGCCGCGCATGTGCGCTTCTGATGAGGCCCAAACCCGAGTGCGGGAGAGGAGGGGGGCCTCATCACAGCCCTCAATCTATAGCGCGAGCCGTTTACGTGTTTACGTGCAATCTATCGGGTGTAGGTGTGCGCGTGCGGACCAATGCGTAGCTGCCAGGTCTCGGCGCACGCCGGGGCGAAGCGGGGCTCAGAGAAGGGTGATGTCGACATCGTCGTGGACGCCCTTGAGCAGGAACTCGCCCTCGAAGGTGAGCACGTTGCTGCGGCGCGCCGCCTTGAGCGTGCCGATGATGGCCTCAAAAATGTTGCCGCATCGGTCGTCGTCGATCAGCTTGACGAACTTGACGCTGCGCAGGCGCGTCGGGGAGGGGCGGGTTAGCATTGGCGTGGTGGTGTGATATGTGTTGCAAATGTGGATTCCGGGGGGGACGTACGAGACTTTGCCGTCAGGACCTTTGTCACCGAGGCGGGTGATTTCTTCCACGAGCTTGGTGACTTCGCTGTCGACATCCATCGTGGGTGCGGGTGTGTGAGTAGACGGGGGTGTAGAGAGGGAGGCGGAGGTGGGGTGAGGTGGGGTGAGGTGGGGTGAGGTGGGATCGGGTCGGGTCGGGTGGCGGACGGGAGGGGGGGCGGATGGGGGGTAATGCTATGGTAGAAGCAAGCCGGGTGAGAAGGCGTATTGAAGAAGGGGAGCGGCGGCCACGTAATCGGTGCGTTAGAGGGGGTGACGTGGCGTGAGTAGCGGCAAGGAAATATGGCCGTTTTAAATTCAGCTGCTCTTTATAACTGTGCAAAACGCATTACATAGCTAGTGTAATCCTTACCATAAGCTTTCCGTCTTCTGTCTTCAATGCCTTGTACCATACTCTATCTCACCCTTACGTCTAAAACTTGTAGAGCACAGAATCCATTGTCATGAGCGTCTTAGCCAGCCCTCCTAAATCGGTCTCCGTCTGCCGCGCAATCATCCGCATTTCAATGAGCGATAAACTAAACAAGTCGAACATCGATCGACTATCCAGCAAATGCTGCTGCAGAACCACCGTCGAAGCCGTTTCTGGTCTGAACGCCGTTTGCTCCAGTGGGTTGGCACCCGTGTGTCGCACGATCCCCGGATGCTCCACTAGCTTGTCTCGTATCCGTTTAAGGTTGCGGAATTCAACCTCGTTCACGGCCACTAGCGCCCCAATGCCCCCGTCTAGTGTCGAGAACAAGAGTACGTGCCGACCAGACTTTTTCTTCACCCGCCCCGTCTCTAGGTCTGCCCTGCGATCCGGCGCTCTGGTTCGCACAAACTTATTAATTCGTGACCCAAACTGAACGCCCCCGTTAATAAGTAAACGTTTTCCACCCTGCGATTCTGGCACAGATGCATGAGCATAATTCATCAGCTGCACGTTTGCGTTTCCATCGCTCACGATGATGCTCACATTTTCGTTTTCGATCAGAAAATCAGCTGCGTATGACGTCACGTGCTCATAGTCTTTCCCAAGAAAGTTGACAGAATTATTCCGATCCCGGAAATACATGAATGATACCGATTTGCACATGTCCGCAGCTACCACGTACTGCTTCAGAGATGCAAGTGCTGTGCAGTACAATTGCCCAAACGCAAATGACAAGTGAATGATTTCGTCCCCGACCAGTTTGTAAACGCTTACTTGAGGTCCCACTCCGGCAATTACATATCCTTCCATCGACGCAACTGCTGTTACTGGTGAAAACAATTCCTTCTCTGCAATCAATTGCAGCTGGAACGCAGTAAACACACCACCTTCATCCGTCAGCAAGTCTTGTCGTGAGACTTCAAACAACAATAGTCTCCCGCGACTGCTTGCATCCTCCCCATTCAGATGTCCTGTCCCGACGACCAGCATGTCTTTTGGTCGCATCTTTTGAGATGCAGCAAACTGTGACTCATTCCCATCGTCCCCCTTCTTACTACTTGGAATATCGACACCGGACGCCACTGTCCTTTGCTTATAAACATCCACCTTCATATTTGCAATCGCCAGTCCTACCTCTCCCTGTTGCAGTTTATGGCTCTTGATCAATTCCCATGTGTCAGGACGGTACACTCGCAATTCGTGAAGCTCTTCGAATAGTGGTGGCACTCGATTTGCTCGCTCATCCACAGTTTCTGCCTCAGCTTGTGCAGCTGTGTGTTGGTAATGTCGTCTATCATGCTTCTCAAGCGACTGCAGTATCCGGGCGAGCCGCTCTTCTCTTTTGGTTAGTGTGGGCATTGACGCCAGCACTCCATACGTCTTCGAGCCGTTGTGATAAGCAACTTTGTGAGGAGTACATCTGAGAGCAATCTTTCTCATCGGCGTCGGCGCGTCAAAGTTCATGACGCTTGGTGGCAGCAGCTCCGCGATGCGTACCACTCCATCATTCCCAACCGAAATGAACCCTCTCGGACATTTCACATTGTGAAACTCCGTAAAGCCCCACACTTTGTGACCCGTCTCATATTCCTCGATTGAAATTTCAGCGCCAGTTACGCTTGTATGACTTAAGGCATGCATTCTTGGGTAACCTCTCTCAGCGAAAACGAAGAAAGGGCATGGCCCACCGACGAAAACTCCAGCTCTTCCCGCAATATTGCGAAAGTGCACAATGGGTGCCTTGGGGGTCGACGTTTTGCTCTCGACTGAGGCATTGTCTTTGCTACCGAGACAACAGCTTACCGATTGCGTTACAATATGAGCAGTCCTATCCCTGTAGACAATCCGATGCATTGAAAGGCGGGATTTTGCGTGCGATGTAGTGCTTGACTTGGAACACATGTACGACCGATACACCATTGGTGCTCCTGTAGCAGATATTGCGATCAGGACAGCACTGGAGAGGCCAGGCAAAAGGGCGGAACCACTTAGTTCCATCATGGCAATGTTGTTAATGACAAGATCTTTTGAGGCAAAAAGGTAGTTACCCTTTTCCTTGTCTTCCGCTGATATTGGAGAGTCTTTCACAAGCGGTGGTGCTGCGAAGAATGATGGGCATTCAAGTACAGTTTTCCATTGAAGTGAAGGGGACAGCACTTCAAGTGCTCCATCGCTACGACAAATTATGAGAAGATGACTGTGTCCCTTGTCGATTTGTGAGGGATCTGGCAGTGCTACAACACCTTTTTCGGGTGGAGCGGACTTCGAGTTGATGCCGCCTTCCTGGTGGATCACGTTTTCTGCCTTTCCATCAGCTCCAGAGATCATGTTTGCACTCCATTGAATCCCACCACGACTTGTTCCCATGGCCAGATCCTTGGTGTTAGAGTCCTGATCAGTTGTACCATAGAGCTCTATATCGGCCTCGTCTTGACTATCATCGCCGTACAACAGCCTGTCGTCGTCATCCTCCTGCACCTCATCCTTGGCACCCTCGGCCACAAGTTTTTCTTTCTTCCCTTCTTCGGTTTCCTGCTCTCCATTATCTGCTTGGAAGGCTGTCGGTACCTTTGTCGCTTGGCCACCAGAACCATGAACGAGAATACCATCGCTAGCAACCTCGTCGGCAAGAGGTCCTTTATACAGGAACGACGCAGAAACGGATCCCACTGCCTCAAGACTCTCCAAAGTGGAAAACTCCACACCGAAACTGAAGTTCTTGTAGCCAATTACCTCTTGGCTTTTGCTATCCGAAGCCTTTGCGTCCAGCTTGCCTGCGGCCTCTTTCTTCTTCGCAGATGCAACATCAATTTGTCCTGACGCTGACGGATCATCTAGAGCCATGCCGTACTCGTCGAAAAGCTCTTCCCCACCTGATGTAGCTGATGGCTTTTGGGCATCATCCTCTCCTTCAATCACAAGATCAGCCTTGGCCGTTAAGACTACCACATGATTCTGGTTTGTTTCAAGGAGAATCAGTGGATCACTGATTTGTGCGCTTCTGATAAGGCCCTTCCCGTCTGGCAGTTTGTATTCGCACTGAATCTTCCCTTCCTTTAATAGCTTCACATAAGAAGTAACAACTTGCACAACAGCGTGATTCTCCAAGACATTGCCAGCGGCCAGCGTTTTCGAGGTGGTCACGAAATCCACTGACTCATTCACCAGTTCCTCAATCTCAAGGCCAGTCTTCAAAACAGTCGTAGCTGATTCAGTGCTCAGCAACATGTATGAGTGAAGAGCGCCTTCCTCCGCTATAGCCTCTTCTAACGGATCCTCAGGCTCGGGAGGGAACTCTGCTTCTGCTCCTTGCTCGATCTGCAACCGGACGTCTTCGCTAATTTCAATTTGTGCGGTATCTTTCGATGGCTCTGGATTAACTGTAGATGCTGAGTTCCCGTTTTCGCTCTTCATCTTCTTTAGAGGCGGCGCAGCGAGTCCTTTTGCTTCTGCCTCGGGAGCTGGAGTTTGTACAGTATCTTCTGCTTTTGCAAATCGCACCTTTAGAGGGCGTTTTCCGTCGCTGCCTGCGTCTGCCTCTTCCGAATTTGTTTCGACGACGCTGCCATTCTCCTGACCTGTAGCTCCATTGACCGTACTCTCAAGCTCACTCTTGCCCTTTTCGGCTTCAGCTTTCTCGGTTTCGCCCTTTTCGGCTTTGGCTTTCTCGGCTCTAGCCTTTTCTACTTTCGCTTCTTCGGCTTTCGCTTCGGCTATCTTTTGCGCTACCCGTTCTTTCCTCAATTCTTCGATGGCTTGTTCAATATATCTTTTTTTTGCAGCGTGCTTCTTGGTGTTCCGGGCTCTTCTTGCGGCATTCCGAATAGAGGTAGCAGCATTCCGTTCCTCTCGTTCAGCCTTCTCGTTCTTCGCGACGGTAAGATCCCTCAAAGTCCATACTCCATTACATCCTGGAACAATAAATTCTGCCCTGCTCGTTGGACGAATAGACTCATGGACAACGCCAAGGCATCCATTCTTTGCAAAGCCCCCTGCCACGACTATGTCCAATTTTGTTAAGTCTTCCGGAGATGCTCCGATAGCTAAATCAGCACCCGGACCAAAACAAGGAAGCGTATCCTTAACCTTGAGGGCCCAATTACCCGCCCCGCTCGCTTTTCCTTGGGAGCGTTCACCATCTGTCTCAGAGTTGAAGACCCACCCCAACTCATCTTCATCATCATACACACCGCGGGTTCCTTCATCTTTTTCTTCCAATTTGAGGGAAGACTGCTTGTTTCCGTGCTCGTCATCTGAGTCTTCTTCGGACGATTCCGGCGGAGGCTTGACACCATATATCAGCTCGTACTCGGCTTCGTTCTCAGCTGAACGAGTCTTTCTCTTCCGTTTACTGGTCTTCGACTTGGATAAGGACGAAGGATCACCATTATATGCCTTATTCTTGGTTTTCGACGACGCGTCTGTCTGCTCTGCACTATCAGCGGATCTCTGATATTCAACCAAAAGGGAATCGCTGAGGCGAGACGCAAGCACGAAAAAGCGCTCATTGACAGGAACAACCTCGGAGGCCATAACGGTACTTCCAGCCCGCTTCATAGAAATGGTATTACGGGAGCCCACGGCAACATTCAGAAAATAAAGCTCACCACCCTTTAATGAAAGTAGGGCGATACATTGAATGCTTTCGCCCGGCGATTCCGGCACTCGTTCTTCGTAGTCTAAGAAGCGACAATGGGCGGCATCGCATTCGACAAGCGTGTCCGACGCGGTAATCATATCATACTTGCCCTTCACTTCAGTCGCGTAGGCGTCACCAAAGCAGTTGAGAGAAAGGCCAGCTACGCAAGCCCCGTGACGAACTTGAAGAATGACACTTGCAGACAAGAGCAGCGCTCCCCCGCCCGCAGACTCAGGAACTGCGACAACTTTAGCGGAATCGTAGGCTAGCGTATCCATGGCCCAACTCTTCGTATGTCTCTTTGACCGAATATCCACTGAAAGGTTGAGTAGCTGACAGGTATTCCTTTGCACGGCGGCGCGGCCAGCCCATGTTCTTTTCGGCTCATGCAGGAGGAGAATATTGGGCTCAAAGGTGCCTTCCAGAAAGGTAAAGTCCTTTATGTTTGTGGCATCATACTCGGTGGGGATGTCGATAAGAAAGACCTCCGCCTTTGAGACAACGCGCTCTTCAGCTCTGGTCTGATCATCCTCTGGTCGCAGCGGGACGATATAGAGGGCATTCTGATTCTTAGACAAGACGGCAATGCACCGCCCAGACGGGTCTGTGCGTATGAGCGGCTCACCAGAATCACCAACAGTCCCTCGCAAGAGCGGCCTGCCAAAGTCCTCTGGGTCAAGGCTTCTCATAATGGAGCTCGGGGAGCAGAGTTTGGAACCTAATAATGTACCCAGATCGAGAAGTTGATCGGTGACCCATCCCCTGACATCGTGATCCCAGGACATGAGGGCGATGCGCATGCGATCAAATCCAATACATAGAAGATCTTGTGTCCCCCTTCGCGATACAGCCATGGTGAAAACGTTTGCGCCCAACGGGGTACTCTGGAGTAGCTCAAGACGGGCCATTTCGGCATTAGCGCGAACAACATATATGTCAAGGGAATTCTTTCGGGCGAAGACGACAGCCAGCGACGAGGATGTAGGGCCGAATCGACCCCGTACGGCGTGCGTGACGCCCATAGGGGCCTGGAACTCGCGGACGACACCAAACATCTGGAAGTGCGGGCGGTGCGAGGGGGATCAATATCAGATGGTCATAGATCGCGTCGATGAGGCAATGCTTGCTGATGAAGGGGCGCAGGCTGAAAACGAAAAGTGAGCAGAAAGCCGAGGGCGGGCGAGGGTATGGGGCGGGGCGGGAGACGTTTGCAATTGAAGCCTCTCAGGCTTTTGAGGTTTCCACAGGCTTTTGAGGTTTCCACAGGCATCTAAGACTGTTCACGGGTAGAGAGACATGCGGTTGTTGGTTGGCGACGATTGTTGGGTCAGCGCGTTTGGGTAGAGGAGCGTGGGGCAGAGACGTGTTTGAGCCGCCAAGGGGTGCCGCAGGCATCGTTGGGCAGGCACACTGGCGGTCGCCGGCACGCTCGGAAGGGTCCAAAATATTAGCGAAAGACACAATTCCAAAAGGCGCGTGTTTTTTCGTAGGCTGTTTTGGGAGGACATTTCCTCCAAGACAACTTCCCCAACGCAACGTGTGCGACACCCGTCCACGAGAGTGCCTATGATGCAAACACAATCGGGTCTATGTAGATTGTGAGATCGATATCACCCGTCTTCTGAGTTGCTGGCCTCTACGTCGCCACGCAGCTCTGCTCACAGATATCCTAATTCGGCCTGTTGCGCAACCGCGTTGCTCTCATCAACTTGCTTCGCAAACCTCAACGTCGGTACTTGAGCTTTTCTGTACTTGAGCTTTTCTACTCTCTTGCGGATCAAGTCTATTCATACTTCTCGGCATTCTGTCACTGACATCTTCTATACCCGCACCCTGTCGTGGGAGAGCGGCATGCCCTACGACCCGTTCCACGTCGCGGCCTCAAACGAAGATGAAGCGACGACGATGCAAGCCAAACTGGTCGCTGTGCGGCGCCCTCCCATCTGCAGCATCCCGCTGACCAAGCTCGAATGGGGAGCTGTCGACGGTTCACACCGCAAGCGCCACCGAAATGAACAGCACCAAAGTACAAACGATGCCCGCCGCCCGCAACAGGGCGGCATTACGGAGAATCAGACGCGCGAAGTCATCCGGATTGTCGAGAAGGTCGTTGTCGCTGAGCCGAAGACCGTCATGGGGGTTCCCCCGCTCGTAGATGACCGCGTGAGATATGTCGTCAATTTTATACTAGAGCATGTCAATTCCGCCAACGTGGAGATTGAGGCCAAGTTTGGCACCCTCATCGAGAAGTCTTCGCACGTTCGCGTTATTAACTGCGTGCCCGTGCTCTGCGAGACCCCGATTAGCTATGAGGCGAACAAGGACACATACTTTAAAAGTGAAGTTGGGAACGACATTTTCGCAATGCTTAATTCCAAGTTGAATGCCAGAGTTGAGGCCACGGAGCAATCGAGTAGCCGCGTGCAGTATTTGCACACGCAGGAGATGGACGTGTACTGGCCAGGGAAGGTTCGCGAGACAAAGGTGAGAAGGAATACAGCCGACGGGTCAGAGCACTACGAAACGATTCGAATACAATCAAAAAAACGCCTTGGGGATCTCAATGTGCTTTGTCCGAACAAGTACGCCGATATTCGCTACTCGGCCAGCCGCGAGCAAGACTGTTCCATTCCACCCAATTCTAAACCACAAAGGTGTCGCATCAAAGATCGCATCTCGTACAAGTATGAATATTTGAGCATTGACATTACTTGCGTCGAGATGCAAGGCGAGGCTACCGCAGACAATACGAACAGTTTTGAGGTAGAAGTTGAGATTGATCCCTCCGCAAATCTGTACGAAGAAGTGCTCAAATACCGCCGGCAGGACGAGGCCTCAAAACTTTTCGATATTGCCTGTTCTCTCGTCAACACGGTGCGGCTTCTCCTCGAAGAATAAGTTCATGTTTTCTGAAGAAGCCATGGCAGACCGTATCGAAGCTCCGTTTCGTTGTCAAGTTTTGTTTCGGGGATGTTGCAGTATCTGCAATGACAAATATAGAGTTTCGAGGCCTCTAGGATACCATCATAATCTAATTTTCATCCAAATCCTTAGCTCCACTTTCCGAAGACTCACGGTATTTCGCAATCTTTGTAGCCCCTCTCCGTTATCTTAACAAACCGAGGTGTCTTCTCGGAATCAACGTACTTATTTTGGACGAGCGATATTTGCAATACAACCTCCACAGCATCCAATCCAGTGGCACGAAGCAACGGAACTACTTTGCACATGCCCGTCGTGCTCCGCTTTTCTGGCGCCAAATGCGTGGACAGAATCTCGATCATGACGGCAATGGTAATCTCTAGAGCTGAGGCCGTCAAGCTCTGGTGTCACGCTCCCCACAGAACAAACGTTGACGGACCCGCATGGTTTGGACGCCTTTAATCGGACCTCACCCCAAGTGGGAGACTTTATTTTTCCTAACTTTCAGGGGGAGCCGATGCTATACCACAGGACGGGCGTTTAAGAGTCACATTTGGGTGGGACATGATAGGGCCGAGCCGTGATAAGGCATACGGGCGATGGTAGCCGAGGCTACGCTGGACCATATCGTGTAGCTAAGGCGCTGGGAGAGACGGGACTTGGCAGTTCCAAATAAAGTGCCAGTGCGAGTCGCGATCTGACGAGCAAGAGAGTCAAGTACGGATGTGGTGCGGGCGCTTGGGGCGCCAAGACTGTCAAATGCAAGAGGGACGAATTTCCAATCAAGGGGCGGAAGGGCAGCGTTGTCCTCCAGATGCAGTGCAGCGCGGATAGTTCGAGCGTGAGCACGAAGCTTGTCAGCGTCCGCGATCTCCGCCGCCCCGGCAATGCGCCGAGCAGCGGGGACAAGGGCGCCAGCTCGGTAGGGACTGCGTACAGTGACGTCATACGCTGTGGGACGGTTTGGATGGGAACCGGCGGGAGGCGCAGCAGGTTGTAACAAGACGTCAGCCGGGTTCTCCCTGGTTGTAAATAAAGTTTTTTATCATACGCGATATGCACCGTGATTTTAATACAATTCTCAATAAACTCAATTACAGTAGAGCTCAGCCACAAATATCGAGCTATTGCGCAAAGACCTTTCGGTGCACAATTGTCTAGACATTTCAAACGACGCCCGTCAAAGTGCTCATAAAATGATTAGGCCAAAGGCTTTGGTATTGCAATAGAAATTTCGTCACAGCCAGGCAGTTCCCCTACCATTTGGTCTTTTCCCCTACTGTTTGAGTCACGGTGGGTAATTTCCGCATGCAATGGCTGCTTCCCCCACTGAACTGCCACTTTTCCCTTATTCTCCTACTGAACTGCTACTTTTCCGAAATTAGCCTACTGATAAAGCCAAATGGCACGAGTTCGCCAACGAATCGTGATATTTCCCAATAAAATTTGGTGTGGGCGTTCAAGTCGTTTCCAGAGGGCTTCTGGTTCAAAGTTTGAAGGTGTAAGCACGGATCCCTTGTTACGTTTGAAGTTCAAACTTCAAACGTACCAAGGGATCCGTGCTTACAGTGTGTACTTTTGGGCTGAACCGTTGTGCCAAGTGCACCAATAAAATGAGCAATATGCTCGCGCCAAGACAGTGTACTCTCCTAAGCGAAACACGTGTACCGAGTGAGTGTATCAGATCTGACACGGCTATGGACAAATCACGCATCACATACAGTAAAGCATGTGCTGTACAGCGTACCTGTCCCATTGTCACAATCGCTCCAAGGAGCCCCCTCCCTCTCCTCGATGGCCTTCGCCGCCGTCGTCTCCCTGCTACACCGCGCGCGTCTCCGCGCCCTGTGCCGCCGCCGCCCCGCGATGTCTCTGCCGCCGCCGTCGACGTTCCGCGAGACGCTGCGCTTCCACGCGCTGCGCGTGCCGGCGCGGCTGTGCAACGACGCACACAAGGCGCTGCGGCCACACGTGCTGGCGCTGCCGCACGTCGCGTCGGTCCTTCGCGCGGACGCGACCGAGCCGGCCCTCGTCGTGCTGCTACTGCGCTACCTGGCGGAGAGCCCGGCCACAGAACTGCGCGCGCCCCCGCGCGGCAACGCCGACGCCGCATACGTGGGCGTCGAACCAGAGGTTGTCGCGACGAGGATTCGGGAGACCGCGCTTGGGGAGAAGGTGGGAGGAAGGGTCGCAGAGTTTGTCAGAGGCGTGGGAGCGGGGGATGTCATTAGGAGGGATGTGCTTTTGGGGTATGAAGTGTGGGGTATGGCTGCGGTGCTGCGCAATGTGCTGCCGGAAGGGGTGACGGTGCCGACATCGTTTGAGACAGTAGGTCATATTGTGCATGTGAATTTGAGGGAGGAGCATGAGGAATATAAGAAGGTGATCGGCGCTGTGATGCTGGACAAGCTAGGGAAGAGGGTCAAGACGGTGGTGAATAAGTTGGAAAGCACAGGGGGGCCGTATAGGACGTTTAAGATGGAGGTCATTGCGGGGGAGCCGATGCTGGAGACGGAGGTCAAGGAGAACGGTTGTCGATTTAGGCTCAATTTTGAAAAGGTCTATTGGAACTCGAGGCTGGAGACGGAACATAACAGGATCGTGACAGCGACAGGAAAAGGGGAAGTATTTGTAGACGCATTTTGTGGCATTGGGCCGTTTGCGGTGCCAGTCGCAAAGGGGAGGAGGTGTGAAAAAGTGTATGCAAACGATTTGAATCCAGACTCGGTCAAGTACTTGAAAGAGAATGCGAAAATTAATGGTGTTGAAGGGGACAAGTTTATTGCGTCGTGCGGTTGTGCTAGGGAGTTTTTGCGTACTCTTGTGCGGGACAAGGTGGCGATGACTAGGGTAGTGATGAACTTTCCGTCGGGAGCGCCAGAGTTTCTTGATGTATTTAGAGGTCTTTACGACGAAGCGGACGGCCTGCCCATGCCCGTGGTGCATTGCTATTGTTTCGTGAAAGGTATTGAGAACCTGAGCAGTGCGAGAGATCGCGTGAGGAAGGCGTTGTACGGAGACAACCTCCAAGGAGAGATGCAGTTGCGTGATGAAGACATTGAAATACGGGACATAAGGAACGTCGCACCACGGAAACAGCAAGTATGCGTCACCTTCCAAGTGCCGAAGGACGTAGCACATAGAAACCTCGACATGTCAGACGGGGAAAACCCCCCCGCAGCAAAAAAGCTAAAACTCGCCCTCTAACCTAACCTTTTTCAACGGGCAATGTGCTGTACAAAACAAGACACTAGATGATGATAACATGAAAAGTTTCAAAACGTCAAGGTGTAAAAATACACCTTTGTTGAGGTTTTCTCGGGCTTAGAAACCCGTTTCGGTCTCACATACTTCCAAAGAGACAGGCTTAGGCGCGTTCACCGCGGATACGGCGGGCCAGCTGGATGTCCTTGGGCATGATAGTCACCCTCTTAGCGTGGATGGCGCACAGATTGGTGTCTTCAAAGAGACCGACAAGATAGGCCTCAGATGCCTCCTGGAGGGCGAGGACGGCGGAGCTCTGGAAACGGAGGTCAGACTTGAAATCCTGAGCAATCTCACGAACCAGGCGCTGGAACGGAAGCTTGCGGATGAGGAGCTCAGTAGACTTCTGGAATTTGCGAATCTCACGGAGGGCGACAGTTCCAGGGCGATAGCGATGAGGCTTCTTGACACCGCCTGAGGCGGGGGCGGACTTGCGAGCAGCCTTGGTGGCAAGCTGCTTGCGAGGGGCCTTGCCTCCGGTGGACTTACGGGCGGTTTGCTTGGTACGAGCCATTGCGTGTGTTTGGGGAAGACGGAAAAATCGGGAGTGAAGTGTGAGAGAGAGCGGGGAGTGAGCGGTGTGGGAAAGGGGGATGTCGGTCACTGAGGGGGATTTATATAGGCCTTTGGAAAGTCCGGAAGGCAGTGCTGGCAGGTCGATGATAGTTCGAAGCTTGGGTGAAGTTGGTGGGAGAGGAAGTGGCGCGAAAGGAATGCGGATTCCGGGCGTTTTGCGATGGGTGTACCCCTTTCAAGGGCTATCAGCCAATAAGGACGCATTATTGCAGAGAAGGACTCGTGAAGCAGCCAATGGGAAATGGAGAACAGGAATTATGTCGCAATTCGAAATTCGAAAAGCCCGCGCATTAGCATCAGCACCGCTTCTGCGATTCAACCAAGTCATTCTCGCGCGCTTTTGCTTCGCCATGTTCTTCGTAGCGGCTGGGCGGCAGCCAGCAAGTCCCCATCTGCGGCGTATATAAACCCCCCCTGCACCCGCGACAATTACCCCGTCCCGCCATCAACACTCACCTTCTTCACACATCACAACGCACACATTCTCTCTCAGTTACTACTCCCTCACTTACAACTCATCATGTCTGGCCGCGGCAAAGGAGGCAAGGGACTCGGAAAGGGCGGCGCCAAGCGCCATCGCAAGGTTTTGCGCGATAACATCCAGGGAATCACCAAGCCCGCCATCCGCCGTCTAGCTCGCAGGGGTGGTGTCAAGCGTATCTCCGGCCTCATCTACGAAGAGACTCGCAACGTCCTCAAGGTCTTCCTCGAGTCTGTCATTCGCGACTCCGTCACGTACACCGAGCATGCCCGCCGCAAGACCGTCGTGTCCATGGATGTCGTGTACGCCCTCAAGAGACAGGGACGTACGCTCTATGGGTTCGGTAACTAGAGTCGTGTCGGCAAGAAGTAGCCGCTTGCACATAATAGCGGGGTTGTACGATACGTTGTTTAGCTTGTCGATTGTTACAATAGTTGAATAACTGTCTGCACGAAAAAAAAAAGAAGAGTTTATTGTTTTACTACAGACATGATCGCCATTTTTTCATTCATGCAGGCCTCAGAACTAGCCTGATAGAATTGCTAGCGCCCTCGGGGTGAAGTAGCTGGCTTTCGTATTCACGTGAAGCTCACGCGAACTTTGTGAAGTTAGTGCGTTGGCTTCCGGATGAAGCTAGAAAATGCTGCGCTGGACACGCATACGGAATGATGCGCCCTCGAGCTATTCAGCGATTCCGACGTTTTATTGGTGCCACGGCCTGGAGAGATTGTATTTGCATCGAGTGCGTCGCTGGCACAAGTTGCCGCACTGTACCAACCTGAAACTGGAATTGTGCAAGATTGCAAAGTGCTGCAGGAAGCAAGTGCACAGTAGTAGAACCTGACGGAGCGATGTTCTTCTTCTAAGAACTAGCTAGAGATTACTACTACAGTATTAAACACCCGGCGCAAAGTTTACAAACGGTATGCCAAGTGGGACAAGTCGGCGGAGAAACAATGAGGGTGAGCGTATGAAGCGTGTATGAGTCGTGGGACGGAAGCTAACCATGGCGGAACAGCCTCATACAGGGCGGCGGTGGTGAGGAAGTGAAATATCTCCTCGGCACCAATCCGGGCGCGGTTTCACGATTTGTTTCCACTTCGTCCACGTGTCCACGTGTGCATCGCACATGAACAGGACAGCATGTCCCAACAATGAAATTTGGAAAAAACTTGCGCTCCACACATCCCGAACGCATCGCAGAGCCCCACACCCTCACCCCTATGTGTCCCCCGAGTCTGCCTGGGCATTCCGTGGGAGCTTGTCCGAGCACTGCACCTCACCTTTCTTGTCTTGACTTATCTCCCATCAAACCGCACCTTCCGCCATCCCCCTTCCCCCCCCTGTACCCCTCTTTTTCAGCCGCGCGCGAGATCCTTCCTTAGCCTTCTCGCCCCAACTCCGACCCCTCCTGTCTCCCCCTTTCACATCCCTTCCGAGCGCGTTTTTCGCACCCGCGTACAGTCCCCGCCATGGCCCTCGTTCGCATCGGCAACTACCGGCTCGGCAAGACGCTGGGCGTCGGCAGCTTCGGCAAGGTCAAGCTGGCCGAGCACGAGCCCACGGGGAAGAAGGTCGCCGTCAAGATTCTCAACCGCCACAAGATCCGTGCACAGCAGATGGAGGAGAAGCTGAAGCGCGAGATCAAGATCCTCAAGATGTGTTTACACCCACATATCATCCGGCTGTATGAAGTCATAGAAACCTCCACAGACGTCTTCGTCGTCACAGAGTACTCGTCGGGTGGCGAGTTGTTTGACTATATCGTCGAGAGAGGGAGGCTAGCCGAGGCCGATGCGCGCCGATTTTTTCAGCAAATTATATCGGGAGTCGAGTATTGCCACAAGCATATGATTGCTCACCGCGATCTAAAGCCCGAGAATCTCCTCCTCGACGAGCATTCTAACGTCAAGATTGCCGATTTCGGTCTCAGCAATTGCATGCGCGACGGGTGGTTTTTGAAAACGTCATGTGGAAGTCCTAACTACGCCGCGCCTGAGGTTATTTCGGGGAAGCTTTATGCGGGGCCGGAGGTTGATATTTGGAGCTGTGGCGTGATTGTGTACGCCTTGCTCTGCGGGACATTGCCGTTTGACGACGAGAGTATTCCCTACTTGTTCCGCAAAATCAAGGGGGGGCTGTACATTCTGCCCAGTTACTTGTCTGATTCGAGCAAAGATCTCATCGCGAAAATGCTCGTTACTGATCCGCTCAAGCGCATCACCATAGAAGATATCCGACGACATCCTTGGTTCCTGGAGCAGCTGCCTAGGTATTTAGCTGTGCCCGTAAGGCCCGGATCACACCTTGAGAATGTGGATGATGAGGTGCTTGCCGAGGTGATCAGAAGGACGCATTTTCCGAGGGAAAAGATTGTGAGTGCCCTTCGAAAGGGAAGAAGAAATCATTATACCGTGGCGTATCATCTGATCAAGGATGCACAAGATGAGCTCGACACAACGCTTGATCCAGCTCTGGCAGCGTTGGCGGCCAGCGCATCATCAAATATAGTCGCGCCGCCGTTCCCAGGAGTCAACGCTGCAACCGGGCAACCTAATAGTATGCACGCTAACGGAACAGGCTCAAATCAGGTTCCTGCGAGCCCAATGATTACGGATCAAGCAAATAATCCAGGCGTTCAAGGCTCGTCTAGTCCGACGGCGATGGCGTTGCAAACCCCACTGGTGCATCAAGGGAACGGCCCTGTACCCGGAGGGGATCGATTATACGGGGAAAGAGAATGGGACGTAGGGATCCGGTGTGCACAGCGCAACCCGGCCGACGCCATGATGGAGGTGTATAGAGCGCTACATGCATTGCGCTGGCGATGGAAGACACCCGCCAACCAGAGTTTTCAAATACGGGCGCTTGTGGAGAAGCCGGGGCTCGACAGACCGATACGGCTGTGTCTACAATTGTTCAAGTCATCGTCGGGGTACCAGTTGGATATCCAACGCATGGACGGCGAGCTTATTGCTTACTTTGTTGCTTGTTCAGAGCTTATGCGGGAACTGCGGGTTTAGTTTGGTGTGGTTGGGGTTTTGGGGTCTATTGTGGACTATGTTTACAATTGTTGGTTTCCTGCCTCAAGCGCTGATGATGCGAGATTCGTAGTCTCATTTGCACAGACACATAGTAAAAATTAAAAGCAGAGCAGGAGATTCGCGCGCGCCCTCTCCGCAATGTCCTCGCAAGAGGATCGCTGCGCTAGATAGTTGCCCGTGTGGTGCAAACGGGTGGTGCAAACGGAATAGAACAACAACCGAGTCTGGGCACATGCACCACTTGGCCAATTGTTCCTCGCTGATGCCCAAGATTTGCGTTGTAGGGTGACAGCTTTCGGTTGTCGATCATGGTGCCGCGCAAAGCGCTTTACTTTTTGTACAAAGCACAACTTTACTTTTGGTACAAAGCGCTAAAACCTTCCGGCCGCCAACATCCCCCACAGACTCTGAACTCACGACGGCCCTTCCCCTCGCCAACGTACATGCCAACCTGACAATTCAACGAATGGACAACGCCTGGACCGAAGGGCAAATCGCGATGCACCAATGCCCCGCCACGCCGCCAAAAAAAAAAAAAAAAAAAACATCTACGCAAAGACCAGGAGTGGCGGCGCAGGTGGTTTTGGCAACCCGTTTGGCACCGGACTACTAGCCGAGCTTACTCAAGTCAGTGAGCTCGGAGATTAAAACAATGGCCTTTGATCGCGATTGTGCTAC